GTGATTTCCTCAATGTGTGTCCTATCCACTTCCAGTGCTTCTTCCTGATTTCTTCCTCCACTGTGATCTGGTTTGTTCTCTTCCACAGTAAGTTGTTACTGATAATGTCTGACCAACGGTTCCGAAGTATTTTGCGTAGACAACTGTTAATAAACACTTGTATCTTTTGGAAGATGGCTTTCGTAGTTCTCCAGGTTTCCGCCCCATACAGTTGAACTGTCTTGACATTTGTATTGAAGATTCTGATTTTGGTGTTGATTGATAGTTATTTTGAGTTCCAGATGTTCTACAATTGTAAATATGCTGCTCTTGTTTTATCGATCCGTGTCTTCACATTTACGTCAGATCCACTATGTTCATCAGTGATACTGTCCAGATATGTAAAGGTTTTTACAACTCCGCCTGGAGCCCTTCTGGGGCTACTGACGGTTTCAGGTCCGGGTGAAGGAGGAGGGTTAGGCATGGGGTTAGCAACCCCATTCCGTAGAAAACTAACTCGCTAAAAACACGCTAACCAGAAAAAATGGTTCAAACCACTCTTAGAATATTTATTATTAATTGGACTAAAGCATTTACAAAGCCTAGGTGCCAATAAATTTCTCGTTATTCTTATAAACTAGTTTCGTGATTTTATTATAATCTGTTAAGTTTATCATGTAAGAATCTCTGAGGAAATATATAGAAAATATCTAATATCGGCGAGACTATAATTCATGGATGAACCAATCACGTATAAGATAACAGGTCTCAGATTTTTGCGCAAAATTCACTCATCCATTTGGATAAATAGAGTTTCGGCATAATAGCTGATCTCAGTTCGTGATGAAAACCCTAAATATAATTCCTAACCTTAACCATCGACTGTAAATCATAATCCTTATTCTTCAGACTGCTTTATAACCCTCATTTGATCCTAGTAAGTAAGTAGACACTCTCACGGTCAGTCTAGTTTCGCTCAAAGGTCGTCCATAAATTACAATCTCACCCTACTATCTTAAAAATATCGTTTTCAAAGTCGATTTCCTTATACTGAGAATTTTCATTTTTGTGAATTAGAGCAATAGATATAAGTGAATAATGTTTTCGATTAAAATCTTATAAGGACCTAGTTGGAAACAAAATTGTTCGCTTATATATGCTATTCCGATTTTCCTATAGTAAAGTCGAACTTTAAGGAATTAATGTCAAATCCCAATGGAAAATATGAAATATCTGACTGTGTTACTTTCACTTTTCTTGAAGAACGACTATTCACCATTTCACTTTATATGGTATAGTATGTTACTGCTAGTCGAAGTCTCTTAGTTAAATGTGTAAATGTTACCAAAGGACTAGGTTAAATCGACTCGTGAATTTAAATATTAAATTATTACAATCTCCACAATTCCTAATTTTGATAATTATGAACAATCTTAATTTGTAAACAAAGATGGATGGTGATTAGCAGTGGAATCCAGGACACATATTTCATCCTATTTGGAATTCGTCAATTGGATGTACCTATATCCTAGAGTTGATGTTCACTCCACAACTCGAGCCCATAACTTTTCACTTTAAACATCAACACGTTATCTACTTAGCTACTAAGTCCAAATAGCTACTAGTTTGTGCAATTTGTTGTTTTTGTTTTGTTTTGTTTTAGACAGTCTTATCCATAAAGACAATAGAACTGATCTGATCAAATCAAAATCATCTCATTAATTTACAAATCTTTACCAACCTTTCATCAAGATCATTATCTACATATTTGTATTTCATTACATCATAAAATAAAAACATTGTTTACTTCCAAATACCTGTCAGTTATTTGCATAGCATCTATATATATTTATTTATTCACTAATTAACATGCATGATTTCCCTATGAACAAACATATTACATTTCATCAATAATATAAAGTATTCAAGAATGTTTCTTTTTTTTCCCCCAATAATAAAGCTCATCAATGTTACTTATTCAGATATAAATATGATGAATAACAACTAGAAAGAGTAACAGGAGTTACTAAGCAAGTAAGTAAGTAATATTAACATTGAATATATACACAGCATAATGACTGATATAAATCATTGAATTATAATACATTTATTTATTCAACCATAATTAGAATAATGATTTACATATGATTCAATGAAGTTATAGTGATTAGTTTAAAGTAAAAAGAGAGAAAAGAGTTGTATTTTTGTTTGATTATTGTAATATACATTCAACTAACATTGAATTAAATAATTCTATTCTGTACTTGTTTATTTCAAAATTAGTATCCTTTAGTGAAAGACATATGATGACTAGAAGTGGAATCCGCGATGCATATTTCCTCCTGACAAGTTCCGAATAGGACGAAACACGCATCAAACTGGATTCCACTACTAGATACTATTCATCTTTGCTTATAAGCCTTGTGAATTAAGGCAATATCAAGACATACACACACTATGCATATATACGCCAATAAGAGACTAATCCATTGCAGTTCTAAACTACAATGGGAAGATACAAGTAAACAACACCAAGTGAAATCATGTGATAGTTTCATTCTTATTTTAGATCTTTCTTTCTACACAATTGATAAATATTGATAAAATAAACAATGTCTAATGTTAGTTCAATGAGTTGTCATTGAATTAGTCTCTTTTAGATATATATAGTGATATAATTTTTTCGTACTATTGTTTTCTTTTTTCTACGTCTTATGAAATATGGATATACACTTAAGTTATAAACGAATTAGCTTTAAACCATTCGGTATTCTGTAAATGTTTTAACACACGTAAAATAATCATTCTATAGTCTAATTACAGATTTTACGGGAACTGAATGGTTCAGTCGTACTCACTCCATGATACATTGTAACACTAGAATTATCAGTTCCATCAAGATTACAGAAAATCTTTGCTAACAAGAATCAACTATATCGAAACTAAGGTTCAAAGTTACCTGCCTATTATATATAACCATCTGACATCAAATTATGCTTCAAGTGTATGGCAAGCAATTCTGAGTAAAACACAAATGAATCGTTTTTGTAATCAGCTTACAAATTTTCATATTTTCATTCAAAGGAATCTATTGGCAGGATCGTGGATGTACATTGTTGAAGAGTCTTACACTAAGACGAAACATCCGTCTAGTACTTTCAAGTTTTCCATAATAGTCTAATTTTAATCGACTGATGAATTCAATTATTAAATTGATTTATTTGTAAAAACTCTGATATTTTAATGAAATAAAAATTTACAGATAAGTCTCACTTAAACATTAAAAATTCAAAACACCAAGTTCAGTGAAGGGATCTCTTTTCAACGAATTTTGTTAAAGTACTAATTCCATGAGGAAATATGAACAAAGAATAACCAAGATGACGTAATAGAAAGATTATAATACTGGATTACATAATAAGAATAATAACAATAGATCTAGTGAATGTAATGATATGACTAAAATGTTTTAGTTATAATAATTAAAGGTCATTAAAGGTCATAGAGATGTAAAAATAAATAAGGTGATGTGATAAGCATTCATGAATAAAATAATGAGAATATAAGACATAAGTAAAGGGGAATGCAATAATAATAATGATAATAGTTAAGGCCAAGGTAACGATAACGATAAGGCGTACTTCTTTTGTACGCATAGTTCTGGTTTGAGCTCATGGATGGTAAGAGGTTCAGCTTTTTTTAAGAGTTGGCTACCAAGAAATCTAGGTAGATTTAAACGAATCATATAAACAACCTTAAAATCAAACCGTTGATCCGTAGAATGATTACAGTCGATTAGCTGTTCAAGTATAGAATTTCTAACTGCTTAACTTTCATCTTTGTAGAACTAAACTGGAACATATTCTTGTATCCGAGTTGGAAGCGAGCGCTGGCTATGGCCAATGTACCTTGCTCCACAAGAGCAGGTGGACTGGCAGATGCACATGGAGGCAACCAGATGCGGAAGCTTATCTTTTATGGATACAGAAAATAAGTTCCTACTAGTGAAGGTTATTCACAGTTTTGCCGCATTAAGTGTTCTTTTAATCGCTGTCGTTAGATAATTTTTGATTACGTCAGATGTTCAATCCCGTTTAAATTCCAGACTTATAAAGAGGTTTTTCTCTGGGATGGAACAACTAGATTTGCTGTCAAAACTACTTCTATTCATTTTAATCATCATATTATATTCACTAAATCTATTGTTATTATTTGTATTACGTAATCTAGTATTATAATCTTTCTATTATATCATCTTGGTTATTCCTTGTTCATATTTCCTCATGGAATTAGTACTTTAACAAAATTCGTTGAAAAGAGATCCCTTCATTGAACTTCGTGTTTTTAATATAGAAATGTAATCAAAATTACAAATTGAACTATTTCTTAAGCAAGAATACTTTAGTGTTTAAGGGAAACTAATGTATTACTATTAATCTGGCAAAAGTAATTTCAGTTAAGAATCTCACAATTATCAACATAGTCTAATCATTGGGATTTATACTTCACGATGTTTAAGTAGATATTTAGATGTTTATATACAATAGAATAAGACAGAATAAAAAATACATCTCGATTGGTTATTTAAGATTTTTTCGTTCATATTTACCATAGAGAAATCTTCTAATGGGTATAAGTTTGTCATAAACATTAAAAAATGGAACCTTAAAAAGAATACTTTTACAGTATAAAGTTAAGTATTATAATCTTTTTTTATAAAACTTATTAAACAAAAATGTGTTGTTTCATTACTTGAAATCATGAGTCATTTGAAGCTAGACCATCACCATGAAAAATCTGGAAACACTGGACGGCTGTTTCGTCCTATTTTGAGACCACTCAGTAGTGCACATTCACGATCCCGTCTCGAGGGATTTGAACCCATGACTAATCGGTCTCATGCGCAAACGCTTAACCTCTAGACCACTGACTCATGATATTACCTAATGAAATTACTATAACATCTACAAAATCCCCTTCTGATAAAAATGTATTAATTCAATGTTATTAATATAACTTACTGGTAAATGGTGAATTACTTGTACTTTTCTTTAGAAAAACGACTATATTTCTACGATGAGTACTTCAGAAATCTTTGGATATTGTGAGGATACTGAAACGTATTGTTAATTATTATCTTATAAACACGTATGTATGTATGTGTATATATACTCCATGTAGTTGATTTTGATTGGTTAACCAATCATTATAATTGAATAGTGAAGAATTTTTCCCCTTATTATAAATCCTTAAAACAAAATGTTTATGGTTGAATTAGCTTGTTTTTATAAAGAAATATATAAATGAACATCTAGTATTATGTTATTGAAGGCAGCCTGTTTGAATATCTGGGCTACCTGTTCCTACCATTTGGATATTTGAATAAGTTATCTGTTTTCTTGTTTGTTTTAACACATCATTATGCCTATCGGTTGCATAACCTATTCATCAGGTACGTTTGTGAAAAGTTAACGACATTTCGTTGTACAAGTTAAAAAAGAGCTCAATCAGAGACACTGTGGTTCCTGGCAATATGTATAAAAAAGAATATATACATGAATCAGATGTCGACTGACTGGACTGTTAACTTCTAACTGGCAATCACTCATTATTTATCACAAGACTCGATTAAGAAATAAGGAATACTTTTTTGAAATACTTTGTGATGAGAATTCTGTATTGTACCAAAAATATAATATTGAATAAAGGCAATAATAAACGAGTATTACTATAGAACATAGGAATATGTGATCCGTTACAATTTAAATGGTTGAATTAGAAAAGTCGAAGATAAGATTTTGCAGTACAATGTATTCAGTGATTACAATAACTTATTGTTTTATGAAAATAGCTTCCGTTATGAATTGTCATCATAAGGATAACAAACTGAAAACCAAAGAAGACTGGACAGCTTATCTTACTATGAGATTCAAATAAGCTCATAAATCAAACTTAATGTTTTGATATTAAAGTGTTAGGCACTTGCCACAAGTCAAGAATGACCAGAGTTTGATTATTAGAGAGAAGATGTGGATCCACACCCTTAAGGAGTGTCATACTATGGTGAAATATTTGTTTAGTGCTTTCTGGTTTCCAGCAAGATCTCAACTGAAATCAAGACATCTCAAATTAATTAAAACATCTTATAGTTTCGGAAGAAACGTGATCACAAAAGTCAATCAAAAGGGTAATGAAGACAAACTCAAACTATTATTACTGTGATTTAGTAGATTCTAAGTAATTGATTGAACTCAAGCTTATTCCACATCTTATATAAAGGCCTTGTTTTACTTGTGTTTAAGCTTATGGATACTAAAACTGATGCATAAGTAGAATTTTTTATAAATAAATCATACAAAGGTTTTGTAAAAACTTTTAAAGGTATGGATATGGCTAAGAACCATTGAAGAAACAAAGTAGGGTAACCTAGAAACGATCTATCCAATATAATAAACTAATAAACAGACCATCAAATTTCGATTTGTTGTTTCGTGTGCAACATACCACTGATTATCAAATGAATTAAACGTGAATAAATTGGTTCAACAACAAATTCACATTGACAGTTTAACGATAGCATAGCGTCGTAAAAATAGAGCTAACAATAGTCTCTATGAGAAAGAAATCATCTAAACTAAGAAAATAGTCTAATAAGCATTGAGATAGCCTTAGAAATCGATAGAATATTTTTGTATAACTCATAATGTTTTGTAAGATGTTTCCAAAAAGGAATAAAAAATTTAAACAGTGTTTATACTTTGCCATCCCTGGACCAATTTGGCACCTAGAGGCTAAGGTTCGAAAGAATATAACAGGATTTTTATCGTAATTCTAACTCTACAAGGAGTATATATAATGTATTCTATTATTTGTCAGATCATCAGTGTGAATTACTGAAAGAAGTTAAACAACTTCCCAGTGTTTTCTGATATTCAATAGTTTACCAGTTGACATCACTTGTAAGGCGGTAGTTCAGTGATTAACCCGTTCGACTTCCAGTCATTAAGTCACAGGTTTGAACACCGTCTTATCTTATTTTTGTTCGAGAAAATGATTAGTATCAATAACCCTCATACTTGAAATATAACTTTAAGCCAAGTACATGAATCTATCCCTGATAAGTATTTAATAATAATTACAATATCATCATCTTAAGTATTGATAAACATCCGCTACTTAATGTAAATAAAATTCCAATGTTTAACCTAATAAATTTAAGGTGTTTAGAAATTCGTTTGTTTTCCTTTTAGTAACTTTGAATTATAATGTAATTTACTGAGATACAGTAACATTGAATTGTATTCCCATGAGATACATGATTGATATCATTATTCATTATCATCAGTAAATGAATTCAATCCTTGGACGTTAGTTTAATGAAAATAATAAACACTGTTAATCACAGTTTATACATAAAGAAATACAAATCAAATTATTTTTTATCAGTATAGGGTTGTAGAGATTATTGAGTTTTATTTAAGATTACGAACCGATCAGTGTTTAACCACTATTAAAAACCTGAAAGCACTAAACCGCCGTTCCGTTCTAGTATCGGACTCCTCAACAATGTGTATCCACGATCCCGCACGTAGGACTCGAACGCACAACCTTCTGTTTTGAACAAACGTTTGACCTCTAGACCACTAAACCGGGATCTAATAGTGTTACTGTCTAACTTCAACCAATCCTTGATCCCAGATCACTGGTACAGAGGTCAGTGATTGGTGCGTAACCTAAAGCCTTGGGTTCGAAACCCGTGAGCAGGGTGTTGGATGTGCACTGCTGAGGAGTCTCACTTAGATCAAAACTGTTGTCTAGTACTTTCAGGTTTTCAATAGTTGTTTAACTGAGGTCAGTACGTGTTATTAACTATGAAATTCAACAATCGCCACAAACACTATCTAATAATTGGATGAAGTTGTTTAAATGATACATTCGTGTTTAATAATTATTGTATAAAATAAATTTTAATACTATTTAAAACAAATTCGAACTTTCCTTTTTGATAAAATTCTTTAATTGTAAACAAAATAAGAAAGGCTAAATGGTAATAACTTTAGAAATTCTCTTGGAATTTTGTGATCATATGCTCCTCTTATACTGTCGTGATCAGGTGAAAGTTAGCTATCTAGTGATGTCTGGCCTTAAATGGCCATATATCTAATAATTGTCGTCTTTGATTTCTCTGAGTCACGTTTGGGTGTATCTCTTTTCCAAGCTATATTTCATATCATTTCTACTCATTACTCTGACTAGAGTTACTGGATGATATGTGTAGTATATTCTGGTACCTCGTGGTTAGATGTGGTTTAGCGGAAGTCATGGACATAGGGTGTTTTTATCAAAGTTTACTTGTACTGTTGTAAGATTTGATGTTTCTCTTGATATTTGGAGTAACGTCAACCAATTATATAGTCAAAGATATTATAATCAAAATAGCTCAGTAATAGCTCTCACTATGACATAGCGTTGTCAAGGTAAATAATGATTCAGTCGAGATTCCAGATACTCGTTCTTAACTTCTTTAGGTCGTGTTTCAAGTCAATTAACATATACCAAGAGTATTAAAAAACAATTAGTTATACAGGACATTTACAATTCGATGTCACGTAATAAAAGAAAAAACAAACTGTTTAATGTTAGGTTAGAAAAAGCAGTGACCAGTGAAGTTCAACCGGGTGTGTTGTGAGATAGTAACTCACTAAAGACAATGGTGGATATATCGCTCAATTTCGTGGATTGGTTGAAGTTAGAAATTAACACCACTGGTTGTTGACTAGCTCAGTGGTCCAGTTGGTTAAGCGGTCGCGCGCGAAACTGATAGCTCCTGGGTTGGAATCTTGCGAGGCGGGATCGTAGATGTGCACTGCTGAAGAGTCCCACAATAGGACGAAATAGCCGTCCAGCGCTTCCAGGTCTTCCATGCTGGTCTAACTTCAACTGAATCATGATCTCAACCATTGAAATTAGAGAACATTTACTTGAATCCTATAATATGTAGTAGTCTAAATTATGATGACGATATGTAACTTTGTTTTAATTCTAATCATATCAATAGTCTATCATTATATAACTTATTTATCAATGTAACATTTCTATTCTTTAACTTCCATCATTTTTACCTTATTTGAAATCATTATTTCTTTTCTTTTACTTATAGTTTAATTCGTTATATTATTCATTTCAATCATCATATGATTATTGTCAATTTAAGAAAAACTAATATAAAGATAAAGAAATAGAAACAAATTTATTCATTCTATATAATCAGATTTATTTCTTTTCCACCTTCTCTCCCCCCCCCCCAAAGGGAGATGATTCGATGAGCATTTATTTTGTCAATTTTTGTTTTGTTGTTGTTTCTTTTTTCTTTATTATTTTTTTTTGTTAACTATTTAATAATAAAAATATCTACACAATTCTAAATTATTAAATGTCCTTGATGTACCGATATTTTTTATTTTTTTTAAAGAAAAAATTTTTTCGGCGGATTGGAGGTGGGAGGGAGGACAATTTCATTATGAATTATTTACATAAATGTATTTTTTCCATTTATATATATATATAAATGATACTGTAGAAAAAGAAGAAAATAGAGACATTCTTCTTTAAAAGTTCAACTATGTAAAATATTATAATTTGTATTTTAATTTCAAGTAGACTAAGTTAAAACAATAATAATAATAATAATAATGATAATGAATAATAAACATGAACAAGTAAACAGAACCTGAATTCTTCAATGTACTCTATGTACCCTAACTCTTTGTTTATGCATAGGTATACAATATAGATAGATAGATAGATAGAGAGAGGGAGGGAAGAGAGAAAGAGAGATTGTTCATTGATAAATATGTATATTATAGATAAATGGTTAATTTATTATGTAAACAAAATTATTTGACCTGAACAAATGAATAAATTATGAAAATGAATAAATCTGTCAAATAAATATGATTTTTTTTTTTACTATTCTTTAAAGATTTATATTTTTTTTATTATTGATGGGTGATATTCAGACGTGAATATGTTTATTCAATAATATTAACTTCTTAAAGAGAATTGATGTTGTTTTACTTGTATTTTCCTATTGTTATTTAAAACGGCAATTGATGATCAGTCTCTTATTGGCATATTTGTATCCTGTATGAATTCCCCTGATATAGCCTTAAGTTACAAGCTTTTTAAATAAAGATGGATAATGGATAGTAGTGGTATCCAGTTTGACAAGCGTTTCGTTCTGTTTAAGATTTGTCAGTTGGATTTACCCGCATCTCAGAGTTGATGTTCACTCTGAGACTCGAATTCAGCACCGTTCACTTCAAACGTGTTGTGTCTCGATAAGAATAATGAATGGTAATTTTTTGGGATCTATTTGTGGACTAATACTATACGTATATTTTTATCGTATAATTGTTAAATAACTAAACTATTCGTATTCATGTCTCTCTTGTCATAAGCTTTATTTTAACATATGAACTGTTATTATACTATTTTCCATTCTTGAATTATTTCCTGTCTATTAATCACTATCTCCCACATTCACAGCCACATTTGGTCAAATTTTGTACAAATGTTATTTTCTATTTTATGCTACGTTGTGGTCTGTTCGACTGGTATATAAAATCAGTGTGTTTGAAATATAATGATTGATATTGCAGAGGATGAGACTGGTGTTCTGGGCTTAACCGTCTGGGCTAGGCGGAAAGCGGGACCAACTAGGATTCTAGGCTACTCGCACTTGTTTTACGCGTCCTTGGTCCGATCGATATTTCGCTGCTTCTGATTGGCGGCTTTGGGCTATAGCAAAACGCCATCACGTTATCCATTTAGTTACTGAGGAAGAAACGAGAGCCCTGGATTCCACTACTAGCCACTATTCATCTTTGCTTATCATGTTTGTGAATTCAGGCAATATCGAGACAATAAGTACAGTATGCACATATGCCAATAACAGATTGATCAATTGCAGTCTTAAACATCAATGGGAAGATATAAGCCAAACAAAACCAAGTGAATTCAAATTCACTCCATTGCACAAGCAAGTGGCTATCAGGACTCAGTAGCTGAGTGGATCACGCGATGGCGTTTCAAGCGAATGGTACTGGGTTGGAGGCTTAGAGTGAACATCAACTCTGAGATGCAGGTACATCCAGCTGACGAGTCCCAAATAGAACAAAACGCGCGTCAAACTGGATTCCACTGCTAGCCACTATCCATCATTGCTTACAAATAGCTTGTGAATTCAGGCAATATCGAGGCATACGCACAGTATGAACATATGCCAATAACAGACTGATTAATTTCAGTCTGGAAAGATTCAAGTAAACAATACCAAGTAGATTTAATCATTTTGTTAGTTTATCATAAAATTGACCACTTTATTATAAAATAATTGTGTATATTACCTAAATTTTAGATAAACTCCTGAGGTTTTTTAAATGAATAAATTGTGACCAATGAAGATTTACCTTGTTGAGTGAATGAAATAAATATCATTACTGACATTGGAGGATTATCTTGCTATAGTGAAAACATATCTGAAATTAGAACTATGGATCATTTAAATTCGAATCAATC